GCAGCTCTTCCTGAGCTTCAGACCAGAGACAGGTTTCCTGTCTGAGCACTACTGATTAGAATCTGATCTCACACTAGAGACTATCAAGATTCAAACTGTAAAAGAGGCCCAGGAGGCTAACCAACTAAGATCAACACTGCGGCGTGGAAGCAAGGTCTGGCAGGAGCTTATAAAGGGGAGGTCTCCTGATGAGTGGATGGAAATCAGGTGTGCTGGAAGGTTCCAGCTCTAGGAGACCCACGGCACACTCTGCTGGAGACAGAGGGTAATCTCCAGGTCCCAACAGCAACTTCAGTCCTAAGGGAAAAAATACAAAGAGCAGAAGGGGATCCTCGGCGCCCTCTGGTGGGCAAGCCTGAGGATCCCAACAATAATAAGGTATAGCTTAGTTGATTCACCAGGGTGGCAACTTCTGGATTGTGATTCAAAACTTCTCTTACTATATTTATACAATACAACAAAAAGATTTAAGAAAAATGTTTGATCGCATTAAATATCTTTTCCTTAACCATATAAGGCAAACACTGGAAAGGAGACAAAATACATAAATTAGGTGAGGTGTCCTTTATTCTAAGTATAGGAAAATTTTAAATCCAAAATATACATATGGTATATTAATTTACATTGAAACAATACAGTGTATATGTGAGCAAGTATTGCTGAATAAATATTACTTTCAAATTAATAAAATAATTGTATTATGGTGGCATTGGTTAGCTTACTTTAAATTTTAATTATTACAAGACAAGAGGGGTATTTTATGAAACTCACTCTTTTCTCACTCAATTTAGGCACAACAAGTCAAGTTGTGATTACTTGGTTTCACCAAAAAGATGCCTTGCTTGCTTATTTTCACCATTTCACGACAGGTTAAACTAATCGGTGATGCCACTCACATTAGCAGACTGTAGTCCATCATTAAGTTCATTTAGAAACCATGGCAAAGCATGAATGTGCAGGGTGTTTTATTAGTAGAAAACTTTAAGGTAATTGAAAAACAAAAGGGAAATACTGTTACCATCCATAAAATCAGGAAAAGGTACTGAAGAGGATTAGGGCCATTAAAAAAAAAAAAAAAAAAAAAAAGCCACTAGATTTAAAAAAAAATGTTAATGAATCTTTTCTTTATTCTCAGAATTCTGACTTTAATCTCAGAGGCCTGCTTCCTTATGCCTGTTTAAATTTAGGTCAGAATTTGGAGAAAGAAATCAGAATTCAGAGAATAAAATAAAAATTCAATAGGCTTCTTGATGTATCTAGTGACTTTTTTTTTTTCTTAATGACCCTAATCCTCTGTTGTAGAAAGGCCATTGCTGATAGATTGAATGTATAAATTGCCACCTTTTTGATCACACACATTCCAGCAATGTGTGTGATTGACATTTAAAGTGTTATAACACTTTTTTATAATATCTTATTTTTTCTTAAGAAAATGTAAATCGTTTTACTGAAAATTTAGTTAAATGCTTCATTTAGAGTCTTGTCTAATTTTACTCTGGAGATCTTAGTCATTTTAGATTTTGTTTTAGAATTATTCAGATTTATCAAGAAAGGATCTTGCTTGTACTAAGAAGATGAAAACCTATTGCAATCGAAGAAATTAACACCTCATCCCCACATTTAACTCTTTCACCTACTAGCTGTGAATAAAGTACAAAAAGCTAATCAAAAATGGTAAGCTCTGATTGGAAGAGAATTAGAGTAATCTTCCCCCCTTGTCCCAGACAATAGTGGTGGAATAAGAGAGGGTCTAAGAGTGGACTAGAAGGGAGGGAGGACATGGTTGGAAGGTGGGTCAACACTGCAAAAATGATCTACAAATAAGTAAAAATTTCTTAAATTAAGTGTATTTATCCTTATTCTACTGTAAGTAGGTAAATAAGATAATTTGCCAATGGAATGAGTATTTTTACTCTTAAAATAAGATAAT